TCCTTGGGCTCATTAGTTGGGTTGGGTTGGGGCGGACAGGTCTGGTCAATCTTCCAGTCCCAGACAGGTCGTGTCTGGCTTTGTAACACAGTCTCTTCAGAATCAATGAATCAATGAAGGATCAACTCAATATTTCGATGGATCCATACTACGGTCCCGATGGCCAAGAAGGGCCATCATAAGCAATATGTTCCTTCTGGACTCAGTATCAAGCTCCACCAGCATGGCACGGTTCGCAATCTGCACGTCGTTGTTGGAAGCACGTGGCTGGGCGGTTCGTGAGGCGTTGTGCGATGCTGCCACACTTAAACCTGCACTGAGATCTAGCCACAGTGGCGTTAGGTTTTTCGACATGTTCTCAAACTAGGACAACATCGACAAAACCCATCGATGAAACACAGCGAGAAGGCCCGAACAGGCCTTATGGACCTTCATCGGCAAGAGTGGGAAGTTAAAGACGATGCGCTGCCATGGGTGGAAGACTCTCTGAAGATGTGGGGCTCAAAACAATTCCAAAGGATGCAATTTGGATCCAAATCAAAATCATGTATAGACTGTTTATTAAACCCCTAGGCATGGAGATGTAACAATTCCGGAGAAATTCGCATGTTTTATTCATCCACCGTCGATTGCTCGCTTTTGCTTTCTTCAAGATGCAGAAGGGTCCCCCGGTGCTATGACCCACAGCCAAAAGTCTTCCGGAAGACAAGGCCCCGCCGACCGCGGCGCTCTCTCCGGAAGAAGTCGGGCCTCAAAGGCTTCGGTGCCCTTCAAGGGCCCAGCCCCCAGTTGTGTGGCATCCACCCCACAAATGACCTGCAACTGCTGAGAAACACACGGCGGTGGTGGGGATTTTTGGAGTCATTCAGGTCTGCCAGGCATCACTTGCTTAGTTCTTAGTTACAGTGTGATACAATCTAATGTGCATCATTTATTTCATACTGCCCGGATGTTGAACAAACACGGATTGGGCCGGAGATACATGTTCGACGTCTCTTTTCGAGTTGGATATATACCAACATGGGTGGGACTCAAGTCCTCTCGCATATGTTCAATTGATCAATTGTATGGGGGCAACTCAACTCTATTGAGAAACCCTCGACCAAATAGGACAACCCCCTGCTATGAATTTGGCTATGGATGGTTTTGCCTTATGTTTGCACATCATTTTCCAGCTTCACGAATGGAAAGCTCATGTGGCCTACCTCAACTTCTACGTTTACTTCTACGTTTCTCAAAGGTTCCTCATTCTGATTCCATGATTCCTCTCGGACGAAGTCGGCACCTGAACCCCCAGTTCTTTCAGCTGCTGAAGGCGTTGCTGCACTCCTCGGCTTTTGTCTTTGTTCGACTATAATACCAAAATGGCGGATCGATGCCAATGTGACGTGTGAAGAAATCATCACGAACGAAGGAAGATGAACGAAGGAGCCGAACCAAGAGTCCAATGACTTCCCCGCTCGCTGAAGGAAGAACAGCCGAAGGAAGATGAGCCGCACCCTGTACCTTTTTTTGCTCGTTTGCTACTGTGAGTATAGAAGTCTGACTAAATACATTCTCTTGCACGACGCCTGCTGCGGGACATGCGAGGCACCAAGAAGTATTGCAAAAGAACGCGCGTCGCGCTTAAGGCGGCACAACAAGGCACATGGCATTGGCACGTCAAAGCCACTATGGCCCTGCTTGTCCAAGCAGTCCAAATAATATCCAGCAACGGCTTCCCGACTTTAAGCCAAGAGCGTGCCAGCTTGGAATCAAAATTGCCTTCGGATCATCTCAGATCTCCTCCTCTGCCTTTCCCTTTGCTTCCTGAAATTCCGCATTCTTCGGAATTCTTCCCAAGATTCTCTAAGTCTTGCGCAGTCTCTGTCAGAACTTCCTCCTCAAAGTCATCATCTTCAGGGTAGGAATCCAGAAGGTCGAGTTCTTCAGGCATAAGGACTTCAAAGCTTTGCGGATGATGGCCAGGGTAGCCATGAAGAAGGGAAATACAACTCCAGTCTTTGATGGCTTTCAGGCCACAGAGAATGCCAAAACAAATCAGCTTAAATGAAGGTGTAGAGGTGCACACGGTTCCGCACGCTGTTCCACCACCTTCACTGGCACTTTTCAATCAACCTTGGGAAGTGCCCTGGTTTCATAAGTTGTCAAAGAGATCACATGCGTGATGCTGGGCACGGTTGAGGCCACTGAAAGTCTGCGCAGACTGGCAGGGTGATGGCCCCACGCACAAACAAGTTCAAGTGGTAGCCTGGGCCCTTCTGCAGGTTGATCGATGGCCTATTCACGATCACACTGATCAGATTGGCCGGTCGATACCATTGGGATTCACGGTCCATGGGCACTTCTCGCCAGATGCGACGACCAAGTTCGGGGAGAAACTGGTGTCCACTGAGAGCATCCGAAGACATAACTCACTGGCCCAGATTGCTGCCAAGGCCGAAGCTGAAACAAGAAAGATTGTCACAGAAAAGTTTGCCAACAAGCTCCGAATTGGTCGCAGCATCCAAGGTGTTCTGCGCATGCATCCCGGACAAGTAGGTTGCCAGTCCGAAGGTGTAGATAAACAGCAAAGGTGTCCTGCGGGCGGGTTTGAAGCGTCGTGCATTCTTTGTCGATGATTGGACGGACGCCTTCACGGGAGAAAACGTGCAAAAGTCGCTCTCCTTCCTGGATGGCACAAAAGGCCAGCTTGGAGTGTTGGAGATGATCACGTCAACGGCCATCAGTGGTATTCTCTTCGCAACATTCTCGGGGCAGCCGCTGTCCATTCTTGGGGCAACTGGCCCTTCTTTGGCGTACACTCTTGTGGTCTTCGATCTATCGGAGGCCATGGATCTTGAGTTCATGCCATTTTACTTTTGGACTTGTATGTGGCGCTCGGTCTTCACAGTCCTGTTGGCTTTGTTCGACCTTTGTGCGCTGATGAAGCACGTGACGATGTTCAGCGAAGACATCTTTGCTGGCCTCATTTCCCTGATTTTCATCATTGATGGCGCGAGGCCCAAAATCAACAACTTTGCTGACGGAGTCATGCCACTGACAAATTGCGCCGAGGTCCTTCTTTCCACCGTTAGCGATGTAGACCGACTGGCTTAACGCATCATTGCTGCGGCCTCCGACATGCTGACGCTGAAGTGGCCGATCCTGCAACGTTGATCCAAGCCAAGCTCTCAAGACAAGCCAAAAGGGCTGCACGAGCAGTACGGTGTCTCACTGTGTCTCACTTGCTTCTGCCTGGAAGTCTCTGTCGCTTTGCATGTTGTCATGCGGTGCAACATGAAGTCATGCTGAGAGCCCAGCCAGCGTACTGCTCAATGCACTCTGCCTGCCCGCGCAGTCACCACATGGAAGCATTCTACTGCCAACGCCGGTTGGACTTTGGCACAATGCGGGCTATCTATCACAAAGGATCAAGGACAGTGGAACACACTGTACACAACTCAAACCGATTCCGCAAACAAAAGCGCGACCGCGATTCATGCAATTCTGCTGTGTCCCTGAGAATTGGCTGCAACTGTGCTGCTTCAATCACTTAAGACACGTCCAAATCTTCAACAATTGCATTTCGATATATGTCGATTCATGACCAAATGCGACCAGAGAGCACATTCCCTGACCATTGTCGCTCTCCTCTTCAAACGTGCCCGACCGACTCGTGGCGACCGGCCGCAAAACCCGAGCGACGGGCATAGACCGGCGGTATCAGACCCAACACTGGGTCGATCGAAAGTGATCGAAAACAGGAATCAAACAAGAATCTGTTCAAAAGAAGATACACAGTAAACAAAGAAACTGTTTGTATCTGTTTGTGGAGGAACATCTGTAACAAGGTTCCATGTGTTTCATGGTCCACTAGCTTGGATGGAGGGATGTGGATGTGTCTTTGTCGTATTTCAATGTATTTCACAGTTTTTCCCAAGTGCGAACACCCGCAGCCTCAGCTTCCAAGCAGGTCACCACTAGGCCACGAGCCCTGCAAGCCCTGGAAGTCGCAAGAGCCTGGATGATTGGACATGTCCAAACTAATTATATGAAGAACATGAAGCCTGAGCCGTCTTCACCCAGAGAAGCTCTGAAACCTTACATCCTGCTTTTCAGACTTCTCATTCAACCACAGCAAGGACCCCTTCCAGCTCTTCGAACGAACGCAGCGCGGCAGAGCGTTCCCGCGGGCGCGGCGGCAGAGCGGGACGCCTCCGAAAAGGCAAAGTCACCCTCGCCCACCGCCAGGGTGCGACAACGAGCGGGGAGCAGCCTCGGCATCGGCTCGGAGAACCCCCGGTGGACCGTGGACCGCGCTGCGTGAAGAACCCGACGGAGAGATGAACACCAGCATCACACGGCATCACCGGATCTCGGCCCCCGAGCTCCAGCGCCTTCTCGTCACCTGGCAGGGGCGATGACGTAATTGCTCAGTGCAGGTGGTTTCTGAACACCGGGTTTCGCACCTGTTGGATGTAGGACCTGTAGGATGTCGATATAGATGATCAATACAAGTATATTTATCAATGTATATCAAGTCAAGGTATCTCAAGGTACCTATCTGTTTTATATAGCAAGCAAACAAAAGAACGTGAAGGGCAAACCACTGCGTGATCTACACTCGGACGTCATAGAGTCACATATACTACAAAATGTTATATATCTCAATATTATTCGTTTTCACAATAAGAATCACAAAATATCACAAATATTCGACACAAACAATGACTTGCAGTAACAAAGTTCAAATCCTATTCACGTATTCCTCACACTCCTTTTTGAGGGCTGAGTTCCTCCTGGAGATGCCCGGCGAGGCTCGAGGCGAGGCTGCCCGGCTCCTGAAGGCCAGGCGAAAATTCCCTTTGCACCAAGGGCAGCGACGCCGAAAAGTGGGATTACCCGTAAGAAATCCTAAGAAGAAGGCTTTCTTTAAGCCCTTTTCTGTAGGAATGAGTCTGGAATGCCCTAACCCTTGCACTTGTTATGCAAGAGCGCGACTGTAATCGTTGCGGCAACTAGGGGATGAAAGCGACAGACTTGATGCCGGCGCACTTTGCGACGGATGCAACAAGTTCTGAAAGCTCTTCATTGGAGCTAGCATCCCAAAGTCGAATCTTTCCATCGTCGCAACCTGTGGCCAGCTGACCATTCTCTGCAAAGCTGGCGGATAAAACGTTGCTAGGGTGACGATATGTGGCGAGTAATTCTGCTGTGCCCGGCGCCCAAACATGCACCAAGCAGTCGTCCGAAGCAGAAGCAAGCAGCTTGCCATCTGGGGAAAATGAAACTGAGTTCACCAAGTCTGTGTGACTCGTAAAGGCCTGAAGGCAAGCTCCAGTCCGCGTGTCCCACACCTTGGCCTTCTTATCCACCGCACCGGTGGCAATGGAGTGCCCATCCGGCGCAAAGGCCACCGAATAAACGCGCCCCGAGTGTCCCTCCCCACGGCGGCCATCCCAGCTTCGAATCCGCTCGCCCGTGCGTCGATCCCAGAGCGCGAAGCAGTAGTCGTCGGATCCCGTGGCCAAGACGTGGCCGTCCGGCGCGGGGGCGACGGTGTTCACGTCGCGAGTGTGCCAGTTCAAGGACATGAGCTCTTGACCGGAAGAAAGGCTCCACAAGCGAGCGGTCGCATCGCCGCTGGCGGAGAACAAGGTGGGAGTCACAGGACAAAAGCTGATGGAATAGACTTGTCCTCGGTGCCCTGTCAGAGTCGCGTGAGGCGATCCAGAGTCACGTGAGGCGTCGCGTTGCCAAATGGCGACCTGGCACTGCTGAAGCACCGTGCAGCGACTGAAAAGTGATGTGTCCCTTGATATGGTCTGGAAGAAATGTTTGTTGGCGTTCAAAAAGTCCAAATCCTGGAATCCTGTGGAAAGACGTGCATCTCACGCTAAACTGCTCGCGCTAGTGAGGTGTCTTCATTGATGATTCTTCATGTGCTCAGTATCAAACTTGTCGAACTCTTCTGCCACGTAAATCATCGTAAATCCACTTATAACGCCTGTTCCTAATCGCTGGGCTGCATGGAGCTAGAAGCGCTAGGAGTCTGGCATCCCTCAACGATTTCACACCGACAGCCCCAGATCTGGCCCCACCTGGCGATCAGAGCCGGCGGTGGCAAAGAGAGCACCGTCAAATGAAACCGCCGCCGCATTCAGTTCCGCTCCATGGTGAAAGTCATCCACCTTGGGGAGGTGTGAGGGCTGCTGTTCTTGCGAAGCAGGAACTCGATGGGTGGTTTTCCTGTTTCACCACGAAGCCCTGTCCGAACATCAAAGTGACTGCAGTGTTTCCCGCAAAAAGAAAAACAAACAGGATGAGGGTGGGTAAGTTTACAAAGAAGTATACGATCTATTATGTACAGTGTACTATTGGAGTTGTTTTCAACCTTTCCACGTGGCAAGATCGGGCATTGCATGGTCTAGTAGCTAGAGGCCCAACTGCATGCCACATTGCTCGGAAGTATATACAGCGCAAATGCGCAAATCTATGTTCTAAAAAGTTTATCGACAAATATACGTTCAATCAACCTTTGTGTAACACAAAAAAAAAAGCGACTCCGTCACCATTTCCCCTCACCTTTGTGTGTTCTTCCAAGTCCCAAATACTTCCAGCGCCATCCATGGCTCCTTTGCATATGTCGGCCAAGAAATGCAGCAGTTTCTCTAGTAGGAGGCTGGTTAGCGCTGACATGCGCTTGTCCCTGTTTCTTCAATGAATACCGTCAGTCCTGCCAGAAGCTGTTGTGATCGCACCATAATCATCTGTATCTCGGCTCCATCCCTGACGAACACATTCACTCATATTTTCACCCTCTGCAGACATATATGAGTGCGAAGCTGCAGTGCAGTGAGACGCTGAAGTTAAACAATTATCATAAAATATATAAAATCAGGGGCATGTCTGGGACGTGTTTTTCTACAAAAGACACCCGAAACCCAGGTGGAACACCCGTTGCACGCACGGAGAGAGCTCGGCTCCTGTGGCTTTGTGTGCTTCAGCCGCAGCAGAAGGACGACCTTTCGCGCTGGCCGACCTCTTCGCGCGGACCCTGATCCGATCCTAAGCCCTGCTTCTGCGAGAGTTTGAGAGCTAAAGATCTGCTGCCCCTCATGGAAGAGCTTCACCTCGGGGACGCGGCTGGTTGCGTCAAACAGGTTGCTTGCCGGAGGTCATAAACCGATCAGGATCGTAAATAGGGGGCTTCATGAACAAAAGGTGTCCCATATTTGGAGTGTAACACCTCTTCATATGGGGGCCTGGGGGGGGTGTTATTCATCAACAAGCTCTAAAAACATGCTTCGGTGTTCAAGAAGCAAAACGATAGAGAACATTAATTTTTGCGGAGAGGTCAGCCAATCCACATATATATATAGTTATATAATATATGTATATATTATATATATATATGTTTGTTGTATATTATACTTTTTTGTTTGACTCATCCCCATGTCTATCAAAACATATCAAAACTGGGAGGCCAAGACACCCCAGAAGAAAAGAAATGTACCAAAACGCATTGATTGGGGATTCCATGTGAAGTTTCATGACCATACAAGCCTCCTAACGTGAAACGGCAGCCAAGATGGCCCAAAATCTGGTGCTCGTCGCTTGCACAAGGCCCTTATTGCCAACAATAAGATCGATAAAGTTCCAACTAAAAGCTTCGTCGTTTGTGCCAGCGACCTAACTAGGGTGCCTGCTCCTTGTGAAAGAGCTACAACCGTCTTTAGGCGTCATAATTATTGTTTATCTTTGAGTCTTTGGGCATATATCCTGCGCCGTTTCCTATCAATCCAACTCTCACTCCGTGCGCAAAGGCCAGGTTACCATGATCGCTTCATGTCGCCCACACAAACCGCCTCTTGTCTACTGAAGCTGCGTTTGAAGTGCGGGCGAACATCTGCAATCCATTCGCTGGCGACAAGGGCACGTCATGGCACCCCCAGGACTCGGATCCTGGTCGATTGGACCTTGAATTGTCAAGCAACTTCGGTTTTGGTGCCGTTTTCTTCGGGGCAGGGACTCCACGTCAGGCCGAGCTGCAAAAAATCCACATCCACAGACCTGTGGATCCCAAAATCTCCAGGGTTGAGTCACTTTCCCATCCCCAAAACTCTCCCCCCGACCTGTCTATCTGGCCATGCAGCTGGCCCGGCGCCGCCCACGAGCCGCTTCAGCTCGGCCACCGAGGCCCCAGGGGCGAGACGCAGCGAAGCCAGGCACTCGCCCGACAGGCCGCCGAGGGCCTCGGGAGGAACAGACCGCCGCATGTGTCAAGTTGGGCGGGCGGTCTGTTAAAAAAAAAGGAAAAAGATACCTGGTTACTACTAGTAAGGCACTTGTTACTAGAAGCGATGCACTTGTTACTAATAGAAACAAGATAACAAATAAAAGAAACAATGAGCACAATATAATGTTTTCTCTTTTTCGTTGTGTGTGTGTTGAACATCAGTTTCCCCAGTTCCAAGAGACCGGCATCGCGCGATCACTTTGGGATGAGTAGTTATGATGCGACACCCATCTCAGGTCAAGGATCAACATTTTCCACGCGAACACATAATCTACCAAACCAAACGAGACCAAGCGAGTCTTCCCCACAAAACTAGTTTGTCAACTGGGATAAGATACTATATCAAACATTGTCAAACCGCCACATGGGGTGGTTGAAAACAGCACAATCATTGTTCTTGAGCTTTGAAAAAAACGTATCGCCCATCCAAAAAAATCGCACGGAACAACAAACAACGCAATATATCCCTAGGGATCCAAGTACCTTCTCAGAAGGTGTTTGGGGTGGGTTTGGAGGGTCCAAGTGCCTTCTGAGAAGGTACTTGGATCCCTAGGGTATATATATATATATATAGCAGGGCTTCAGATCTCTGAAGATCTCGTTTTCGACGTTCGATTCCCCAACAGCAATCTATCAGACAAGTCCACACATGTCACATGTCACATATTTTTCCGGTGCTTGTCAGGGTCCAAACCACCCTAATTACTGGGCATGCGAGCCACAGCAGTTGGGCATAGAAGGGTAATAGTCATAACAGTGGCGGTAGGGTTAGAACCACATGAGGTGGTTGACGGTCACCTTTGCGTTCTTTCAGTTTATTCTTGCCACTTGAAACACCGTTGGCTGAAAAAGGAAAACATGTCCGATGTGGGACTTTGTTCAGACTCAACCCGCTTCAAAGTTCTCCGAAAGGTCAATCTCTAAGGTCGGTTTGTTTGGGGTCCTTTGAATTACAACTGGCCACTGAGTTATTCAAAAATGGCAGAGGGGACAAGCGGCTAGCAAAAGGTTGCAATGTTTTTAGGCTGTTCCTTCTTGGGAACCCAGGACTTGAGGCCGAGGGTAGGTGACGAAAGCTAGCAGGGGTGCATCCGGACTGGTGGGACATCAAGCGGAGTGAGGCAAATGCTCATGAGGTAAAACGTTGTGAACATGTAAGACACACAAACAGCAATGACACAGCCAACCTTAGAATTGAAGTCCCCGATAATTAAGGAAGCGTGGCTGGACTTTGCCACACTGTTCGATGCATCCGATGTGTTCACGAACCTGTGAGCTTGTTGAATCTGTTGCACCGTATCCATCCGTATCCCAAAACCTCCACGGAGGAGTTGAACCAGTGTGGATGCCATAAGAGGTGCCCAAGAGGTGTCCCAGAGGCAAAACAAAGCTGCTTGCATGATTTGTTTGGTTTCTTCTATCGATGTCGATGTCATGAACATGTGAGCTTGTTGAATCTGCTGTTGGATCGTCATGTATATGTAATGAGGGACTGAAGAAAAGCAACGCAGCATCATGAGCATCACGGGAAGTCACAAACCAGGCGTATCAGATACACCTGGTTTATGTATGTTTGTTTGAGCATCTTTGTCGAGTGAAGTGTCAGCCATATGCACTGAGATGCCGAAGGAAGCTCAAAGGCATGTGTATCTGATATGCCTGGTTTCTGACTTCCCGTGATGCTCATCATTGAAGCCTTGAACCCTCGCGTAAATTTCATGTTTCATGCCCCCCCCTTCCAAACTCAAACAGTGGCCTACTTCACCTGCCACCTAAACATAGCACTATAGCACGTACCGGAAGCGTCCCAGGGGGGAGTTGAACCCGCGGGGGGGGGGGG